TCTTCTTTTACTTTAAATGTAAATTAATGCTATATTGTAGTGAAAATAAAAATTCAAAAAAGAAATATATAACATTATTAATAATTATCTTGAATTCCTAAGATCGACATTAACTAATATTGATAACCCCAATCACAAGTTTTTTAAAGAAACTGCTTAAACCATTGTCAGTATTTTTTTGCTGATTAAAATTTAATGGAGTACATTATTAAATCATTTACTTTCCCAAATATTAATTTTGTGGAAAATCAAAAAAAAAATATCAAATCAATTTAACTTTTTATTATGTAGGCAATTTAACAAATAGAACCCTTAAAAAGTACTTATAAACAAATGTTTTCAACACCCATTTAACAATACCCAACTAACAAAAAGAAAAATTGTTTGTTTGTTAGTCCTTTCTCAAAAGTTAAGAGAAAAAAAAGGAAAACACTTAGCAAATATAAATACATAAATAAAATCCATAAGAAGGAACATATAGACCATATCCTTTCAACACTTGCACATTAAATTTTATGCATAAGTTCATTATATAGGCCTTCTGCCATAAAAAAATTCTAATTTAAATTTTAATGTACTATTAACACCAAACAATATTGTCACGAAGCTATCTTATCTGAACTCTCGATCCCTCAACCCTGAGTATTTAAACAAAAAACAAACAAATAACAAAAAACAAAATTATCCTTGCATAAGTGAAACAGAGGAAAACAAAGAAGAAGAACAGAAGTAAAAAACTACACAAAGCAAAAGCAAAAGAGTTAATAGCACTTGAGTCCTAGTGTTAAATAGATATGTATGTGTGCTTGTGAATTAAGTTTGTTTTAATGTGTATGTATACGTATTTTTTTTTTTGAAAACAGTCAGTGTTCCATGTGTCCTTACGCCCTATGCGGCTGCTATTACTAAAACACCATGGATGAATAATATTATGTATTGCTTTTAATACTTGCTTACGTGTGTGCTTTGTTATGTGCGGGTGAGTGTGAAACTTTGGGTGCATGTGTTAATACTTATTTTGCATATCTGACTTCTACGCTTGAAATGTAAATGAGATTTTTATCATTCACACGACAAGCACAGAGATAATTTTTAATATATATATGTATAGTATAGTATATGGATGAAAGCGAGTGTGTACGTAAATGTGTGCCACAGTGCGTATGAGCAATTTTATACCGCGTTGTTTTGACAGCAATAACCTGACAACCTACCACCCCATGCCAACACAAATTACACAAAAGCACGAAATTATTAATATGCATGTATGTGTGTGTGTGTGTGCGTGAAAATTGAATTTTTGAATTTCATACATTTGAGTTGGGTTGATACGTACTCAAACCTACCCTAAATCACACATACAAATTCAGAAATGTATGTTGTTAGCATCACACGTACTCACACAAAACCCGAAGACACTTTTATTGTAATGTCTGAGAGTTTGTGAAAT